CAAGTACACAGTGAATTCACATTTATTATTATATTTACAATATAAACAATCTACCCCCCCCCCCGGGCCGCAGGAAAATTGCCAGGCGTTGCCCGGTCCGCAGTGATAAAAAGGTTGGGGACCACTGCCGTAGCCTACATGACCTGTCCTGCAGCAGCAACCTGGACAGACAAGCGAAATGGCTGTCAATCAATCAATCAATCAATCATAGTGTGTTTCCAAAACATACAGAGAAAAGAACATTTTCATAACACCAAACAGAAGCAAAACAGTCCAGATCACTCATTATCTCATAATAATTCTAATCAATTATTCATCATCTTTCCATTAATGCAGTCAGTAGCTTTGCACACCACAATCAAAAAATTATTGTAGCCTGTTTTTTTTTTCCTGCCGATGTAGATGGCCAGCCTGGCTTGGTCCAGCAGGAAGTTGAACAGTCCATCACTAACCTTCCACCAGTATTTACAACCCAAAAAAAGAATTTCCCAGGTTCAGTGAAGAAATACTGGAAAATCTAAACAGGAGGGAATGTGCAGATTTTGTCAAGAACTTCAGCCTGAAAATAATTTTCATGTGTGTCTGAGATGTGCCTGTTACATATTTTGCATTTACCGTACATATGTTACGTTTCATTTTAAAACTCAGGTTTATTTGATTACTGTAAGTGAAACAGGAGAATAAACATTTTATGTATTTTATATAGACACCTGACAGTAAACAGAAAGAATGACTCTCAGTATTTGAAACTGAAATGCTGAAAAAAAGATTTGGGAGAGATAAAAACTGCAGACTCTCTTCTCTCCCAGTCTGGGCACCGACGTGAAAACCAAGCACAGTTGCTGTGTTCTGACTCATCTTAAGATGCTTTGAGAGGAGTTTTGGAGGATCGTCATGTGTGATTACTGGATGAATTTCATGTCACAAAGTTGTCCGCGGTACATTTAAGGTATTTTTGGATTGAAACCCATTGATTGTATAACTTCTGAGTCATCTGATCAGTGAACGTGATGCTCCAAACACCAAGAAATCTAGTTAACCGCCTGCATCTCTCAGTATCATGTGTTGGTTATGTGATGCACAGACAGGTGTGATGAAGGTGAAGGTGGACACTACTGCTTACAACGTGCAAGCAACCGGCCTCCCAGAGCATCAGGTTCTCCTCAGCCTGGATGAAGTCCTAGGACCAGAACACCCCACATCAAGGTAACATTTACCTTGGCAGACAAGAACATGATGAGGTATCTGCTCACATTATGTTTATTTTAATGTGGCAAATGGGTGCATGTGATTGCCCCGTGGTTGGTAATGTAGGCACAGGCGTAGCCACAGGGTGGCCAGGGGTGTCACTACCCACCCCCAGAACGTGATTGGCTGCAAAATGTGATGCTTGTCAGTATTAGTGGATGAAAAAAAAACAAATTGTTGCCTTAAAACATTTTTCTTTTGCTTTATAATTGGTCATTTAGTTTTATTTAGTATCATGTGTGCAGGATGATATTTACGTACATTTCTTCAGCTGTGTTGTTGTGAAGTACTTGGCATGATTCACTGGGGGGAGCACAGCCAAGTTTAACTAAAGAAAGCACTGTATAAGTCTCATTTTACACAAAATAAAGAATTTGTTTTTTAATAATTTATGGTTTATTATTTCACAGAACTAGGGGTTCTATTTACTTTTTACATGTTTTTCAATTGTGCCACCCCTCTCTCAGTCTGTGCATCACCCCTTGCTAAATGATCTAGAGCCACCCCTGGATGCAAGTTTTGAAGTGTCCTGTTGGCTCACCAGCTGGATGGGTATGCAAGCACACACACACACACACACATACATACATACATATCATAGCAGCTGGCAGCGAATCACCCAGATGAGATTGATTTAGCTGCAGGCCAAATGGTGTATGCGCTTCATTCTAGTCTCATCAATACAAGAGAATTAGCTAAGAACAGCTCATATGGACATTTTTAACCTCTCTGGTTCCTGTTACCTTACTGATTCATTCATCCAACCTTTTAAGATTGAAGATTTTTCTACAGTCCTGGGCAGTTTTTTTCTAATGGAAACATCTCCTCACATTATAATGTTTGGTAAAACAGCTTTTACAGCACGTAAAAGACGTAACCGACACATTTGCCTCAGGTTCAGACCTTCTGTGAGTTTGACGGTTCCTTTGTGGCTTCAACAACAACATCACCACACACATGTTTAGTGGAAAGTAAGCAAGCAAATGCACATTAACAGGCACAGTTGCTTCATTTATGTAACCAAGCCTCTCTCTCCCTGTCCTCTTCTTTGTCTCTGGTTTTTCTGCACCTCTCACCCCCCTCCCCGCTCTCGCATTTGAAGAGTTGTTAAATAATAGTGCAACTCACCCATCACTGATCTGAAACCACAGAGAGCTCATTCTTCTGCTTTCATACTGCATTTGCATATCTCGTTCAGTGGCTGTGTGCACAAGTGTGTGTGTGTGTGTGTGGTTGCATAAAACTGTAGGCATGTTTGATGTTGTGTGACTGTGTGTGCAGGTGTGTTGTGTCTTGACAGCGTCAGAAGCTCAGGTAACATAGGAATGGATGTGTTTTTCAGTCATTTCTATTTATTTCTTTACAACAAGCTGTATTTATCTCAGTCATCAAGAGGGCTGTGATAAACTGACATGACATTATAAAATAACATTTTATGTTACTAGTGAAGTCAAAGTATGAAGCAGCACAAAAGGGAAAATACCTTGTCTTGAGTAAATCTGTTTAGTTACTTTCCATCACTGGTGTACAAACCAAACTGGTTCACCTGACCCACAGAGATTTACTGGTAGTTGGGAAGTGGAATATTGATCTGGCCACTAAACACCAGATGTTCTGGGGTGACAGAGCAACACAGATTCATTTGCACGCACACTGGAGATGTTCACTGGTGTGAAGCCGGTGAGGGATCATGGTGCTGTTTCTGCACCAGTGACTCCTGAGTGAGACACCTTAGTGGAGATGGGGTGAGACTTGGGCAGAAAGTGTGAACCTATGTGTGCCCCCACTCCAGTCTCTATTTGGATTTTTATGTGTATTGTTGTAAAACCCATGCTAAACCTTTAATGCAAATATTTTGAACAGCTATCTATTACGCTAAGTCAATTACAATTTACCAGAATTTTAAAATTATCAATGTGAAGAAGGCACGACAGTGGCACATTAGCTGCTTATTTTGCAGATAATCTTAGGAGTGTACAGTAGTAGAAAGAAAAATTATGTTGCACCCTGTGCTCACTCAAAGTATACAGTACATGTACATACTAACAATGACTTAGGCTGAAGAAATCCTCAGTCTCTGAACATCAAATGTAGAGGAACCATGCACTGCACTGTTTACATATGAAACACTTGATCTAATAGGGGAGAGAGAAGAGGAGAGAGAGATGTAGATGGAGGGAAATAAAGTGTTGACCCTTTTACATTAGTGTAACATTGGCTTCATACATGTAAATGGTGATATACAGTACAAAATAACTGGCAGCAATTTTAAAAGATTTAAAAGTTTCTCATTGTGTCTTTGCGGTTTTGAGATTTTGTTCTACTGCAAAATCATTAGAGCAGACACCTTCTTTGTATCTATACCTGAGCAGCCCACAACCCAGGATAACCCTGCACTGTTGAGATCTTTACGTCTGTTAGGCACCAGGTTTTGTAGTCCACAGGATGCTCATAATGCAGCGATAGGTCCATTTGGTGTTCTTCAGAGCCAACAGAGTGAGGACAGAGCCACGTGATGTTCTGTTATGGTTTAGTCCCCCTCACCAGGAGGGTGAGGGAGAACTGAGGTAGGACTCAAGATTGCTGACCCAAGTGCTAATAAAAAAGGTGGTTTAATGATGCGGATCACAAAAAGAAACAGAGTCAATGAGTACAAACAACCAGGGCTGGGTAAAGATGGCTGAGGAGACCAGGATGACCAGGGGAAGACAGGTTAATCACAGAAACCAGGAGAGTGGGAGGAACAGGACACATAAAACGGTCAAGTTGTTCAGAGAGCTCCACCTCCTTTCAGTCACATTGCTGGGATAGATAGTACATGTTATTGTTGAGTGATAGAAAAATCATTTTACATCAACTCAGCTTTGAGATAAAGTCTGGGTACAAAAGATTTGGACCCCAGCGTTTAAACTGTGACCAACCACTAGATGGCGA